ATAACAAAACCCCTAAATGATAACAAAAATCTTAAAATGATAAAAAACTTAAAATGATAAAAAAATTCCGGAAATTAAAAACAAAACCTGAAATGATAAAAAAACCCCTGAAATGATAAAAAATCCAAAAAAATGAAAACAAAATCTTAAATGTAAAAAAAATTCCTATAAAACAAATCCTAAAATGTAACAAATCCAAAAATGATAACAAAATTTTAAAAAATGATAAAAAAATTTTAAAATATAAAAAATCCTGAAATGAAAACCCAAAATCCTAAAATAAAAACAAAATCCTGAAATGAAAAACAAAACCCCTAAAATTATAACAAAATCCTAAATGAAAAAAAAATCAAAAAATGAAAACAAAATCCAAAATGATAACAAAAATTTTAAAATGATACAAAAACCCTAAAAGAAAACAAATTTTAAAATTATAAAAAAATCTTAAAATGATAACAAATTCCTAAAATGATAAAAAAATCTAAAAAAAACAAACCCCTAACATGATAACAAATCCTAAAATGATAAAAAAATCCAAAAATAAAAAAATCCTAAAATATAACAAAACCCAAAAATGAAAAAAAAACCAAAACTATAACAAAAATCTTAAAATAAAAAAAACCCAAATGATAAAAAAAATCCTAAAACATAAAAAAATCTTAAAATGTAACAAAATCTAAAATGATAAAAAAAATCCAAAAATGATAAAAAAATCTTAAAAAACATAAATCCAAAAATGAAAACAAATCCTAAAATATTAACTTTAAAAAAAAAAAAAAAAATAAAATTCAAAAATTAACCCAAATCCAAAAACGAAACAAAAAGTCCTAAAACGATAACACACAATCCAAAAATACAACAATATTTTAAAAAGATAAACAGAACCCCTTTCCTTCCCCAATAAGTAAAAACGCCATATTTTGCAAAACAAAGACATCTTTGCAAAAACACCATTCCCCGGCTTTTTAACCCCGGGTAAAGCGTGACAACAAAAACCCCTGAATAAATTCCCCCCGCCGTCACGAACCCGGGCAAAAACGCCCTCGCCATCCAGTAGACCGGGATAAATCCCCTTTCACCCTTCAAAAACCCCATTAAAAAACGCGGGAAGTTTGTTGAGATGTCTTAGTGACCAAAGGGGGGAAATGCAAAACACCGGGGGGAAAAAAAAAAAAGATTGACGGAAACAAAAAAAACGTGAAGGGGAAAAAAACGAGGTAAACATAAAACACGTGAGGGAAAAAAAAAACCCCCGGGAAAATTTTAAAACAGAGGGGAAAACATGTATATTATAAAAACCAAAAGGAAAAATATACGGAACAGATTAGAAAATGAAGGGTTTTGGTTTATCGGCGTATTAACAGAGGGAGGAAGGGTGGTTGACTAGGCAGTGTTAACAAAGGGGAGTGAAGGTTGGGTTGACTCAGGCAGTGTTAAAAGGTGAGTGAAGGTTGTGTTTTTACTAGGCAGTGTTAACAGAGGTGAGGAAGGTTGTGGGGGACTCAGGCAGTGTTAACAGAGGTGAGGAAAGGGTTTTGGTTGATAGGCAGTGTTAACAAGGTGATGAAGGTTGGGTTGACCTGTAGTGTTAACAGGGGGGGGGTGAAAGGTTGGGTTGACTCAGGCAGTTAACAGGGGGGAGGAAAGGTTTTGGTTGACTTATGTGTGTTAACAGGGGGAAATGAAGGTTGTGGTTGATCGGGAGTGTTAAAAGAGGTGAGTGAAGGTTGGGTTGACTCACAGGTTAAAAGGGGTGAGTGAAGGTTGTGGTTGGGTCAGGCAGGGGGACAAGGTGAGTGAAGGTTGGGTTGACTCAGGGGAGTGTTAACAGGGGGGAGTGAGGTTGTGGTTGACTCAGGCGTGTTAACAGAGGGAGTGAAGGTTGTGGGTTTGGGCCCGGGAGTGTTAACAGGGGGAGTGAAGGTTGTGGTTGACTCATGCAATGTTTAAAAGGGGTGAGGAAAGGTTGTGGATGACCACGCAGTGTTAAAAGGGGGAGGGGGAAGGGGTTTTGGTTGACTAGGCAGTGTTAACAGGGGTGACTGAAGGGGTGGTTGACTCGGGGATGTTAACAGGGGTGGTGAATTGTGGTTGACTCATGCAGTGTTAACAAAGGGGATGAAGGTTTGGTTTACTCAGGCAGGTTAACGGGGGTGAGTGAAGGGTTTGGTTGACTCGGGGACTGTTAACAGGGGGGAGGTATGTGTTTGGACTTGCTTTTTAACATAGGTGAGTGAAGGGTTTTGGTTGACTCGGGAGTGTAAAGAGGTGATGAAGGGTTTTGGTTTTCTCAGGTAGTGTTCAGGGGGGGAGTGAATTGTGGTTGACTCATGCAGCGTTTTAAAAGAGGGGGGGAAGGTTTTTTGGTTGATCAGGCAGTGTTAAAAAGGGGGAGTGAAGTTGTGGTTTTACTCAGCAGTGTTAACGAGGTGGTAAGGTTTTGGGTTTACTCATGCAGTGTTTAAAAGAGGGGGTGAAGGGGGGGTTGACTCAGGGGGTTTTAAAAGAGGTGAGTGAAGGTTTGGTTTATCAGGGGTGTTAACAGGGTGAGTGAAGTTGTGGTTGACCCGGCAGTGTTTAACAAGGGGGGGAAGGTTTTGGTTTCTCTGCAGTTTAAAAGAGGCGGGAAGGGTGTGGGTTTACTCAGGCAGTGTTTAAAAGGGGTGAGTGAAGGGTTGTGGTGCTCAGGGAGTGTTAACAAGGGGAGTGAAGGGTTTTGGTTTATCATGCAGTTTAACAAGGCGAGGAAGGGGGTGGTTGGCTCGCAGTGTTTAAAAGGGGTGAGTGAAGGTTTTTGGTTACTCAGGAGTATAAGAGGGTGAGTGAACTTGAGGTTGACTCAGGCATTAAAAAGGGGGGATGAATGTTTAGGTTGACTTAGCTTTTAAGAAAGGGAAGGAGGAGCCCCTCCCCTACCAACAGTTACACTATCAAGCAACGCCCCTCATCTCCCCCCCGGTTTCCCGGTAGTTACCACTACCCCTGGATTCTCCCTCCACTTTGTAAGCCATGCTCTGATGACATTCTTAAGTCTTTGGTGCCTTTTGTTGTACTAGTAATCATTTAAGTCTAACAACGGGGAAAGATCAGTAACATTCTAATCACTTCCAAGGCAATTTTTCGTATCTTTTTTTTTAAACTCTTTTTAATCTTAAAAACATTATTAATATGAAACTTTTAATTTTTTTTTTGCAAAAAAATCGCGTGTAAAAAAAAAACGAACATAATCACTTTCAAAGTTACCAGATATACTTCAAGGAGTATAAACATTAACTCAAACAGCGCTTTAGGTTTTATTTCCCATTATCACTGTGGTATTTTTACTTATTTTAATTACGGTTTATTGTGATTTCTTCCCTTTGTATTATACGATAGAGAAGCGTGTGAGAGAACAGCGATACTTGTCCTGTTTTCCCGACCCCGTCAGGAAACAGGACAAGTGTTTCCCGACGCCCGGTTTTTGTCTTTTGATGACTCACCTGGAGCTTTTGTCTGATCGAGGGCCTTTCCCCTGGCTTATACTGTCACATCCTCTTCATCTTTAATCATACAAGCATAAATTATAATGTTTTTTTTAACACATATTCAATTACAAAAACAAGCTTTGTGTTACACATGTGTACAGTTTTTAAACCAGTTTGTTTTATCTTTGACTTTATGGAGGTTACTGAAAATGAATATCTGAAAAAAAAAAAAATGAGAAGGATCACTTTATTCCTTCCTTGCTGTGTGCCGAGTGCCATTAACCAGGTGTTTCTGACGGGAACAACTCATTTAGCGGTCAGTTAAGGAACCTTCATCCTGAATTCGACGTATACCAGGAAGCTACTATCCTGCCTGTCAACCCACCCAGGCTGGAGCACGGTTAGTTGTTACTTGCCAGGATGAGTGCACCATCCTGGGTGCTGGCTAGGTGCTGAGGCTGTCGTCTGACGTTTCACAGAGGCTTGGCTGTCATGTGAGGTCATTTCGCTGCTAGCAACAGCAGCCCATACTGCCAGACCGCCTTCCTGCCTCTGCTTGCTAACACCATAATACAGCTATGGGGTTCCTATAGCTTTAACAGAGAGTGTTCTCATACTGTTCAATATTAGGTTTAACTTGTCCCTGAACTCTGTACATGGTTGTATATATTTATGTATATATATTCATGGGGTGGGAATATATGCTAAACCAAAACTTATTCTACTGTATGTACTGTGTCCGTTATTGATTCCTCCCTGACTGTGTTTAGTCACCTGACACTGCAACCCTTTGATAGTACTTGTGTCCGTGATACTCCGATAGTACTTGTGTCCGTGATACTCTGATAGTACTTGTGTCCGTGATACTCCGATAGTACTTGTGTCCGTGATACTCCGATAGTACTTGTGTCCGTGATACTCCGATAGTACTTGTGTCCGTGATACTCCGATAGTACTTGTGTCCGTGATACTCTGATAGTACTTGTGTCCGTGATACTCCGATAGTACTTGTGTTCGTGATAGTTTGATAGTACTTGTGTTCGTGATAGTTTGATAGTACTTGTGTTCGTGATACTACATGCGTTCGTGGTACTTTTCTGTTTATAAAGTAAACTGAAAAGAACCATTCATAATTACACACACACACACATATATAGAAAAAATAATGTTCCTCTTTTCAACTAGGAAACATATGTTAGGTAAAATTCATCAGGAAACAGGACAAGTGTTTCCTGACGCGGGTCTTAGTCACATGATGACCAGTCACTGCAGCTTTTGGCCATCTGATCGAGACATTCCACTGGCTTACCCATCCACCATAACCCTCCTCTACACTAAGAATCTAATCCCTATTAATTTTATCAAATGAATGGAGTAACATTTTTCACAAAAGTAATACTTAATCAAGGTTATGCAAATGATAAGTGAAAATGACTTGTAGTTACAGAAAATGCCCAGCCTTAAATAACTATGAAATGTATTGTAAAATACGTGTGACATTTCCTGAAATGAAACAGTTTAAATGAGACACAACACCTTTATCAGCCCTGAGGAGGAGGATACCGTGGGCCTCGACGACGCTCAGTTGTTTGACTTGGACACTCTTGTCAAAAATGAGACGGTGCGCCACGCCCTCTGTCAGGGAGAACAAGTAACTCGTTAAGACACTTGCGCAACATCTGGGTATCTTTATTGTAAACGTTTCGCCATCCAGTGGCTTTATCAATACAAATTCTTGGACATAATTAGAAAACGGAAGAACTATATACAAAAGATGAGGTAATCAGTCCCTCAGCCTTGGAGGTGGTGTTTACAATACTGTGGTTGTAGATATTCTGAAGCACAGGTAAGGTTAGGTTAGGTAAGGTTCGTCAGGAAACAGGACAAATGTTTCCTGACGCGGGTCTTAGTCAGATGATGACCCGCCTTTGGAGCTTTTGGTCATCTGACCGAGGCCGTCCGCTGGCTTACCGGTCCACCCCTTTAAAAATTATGGTCATTTATAACCATTGTTATATATTATTGAAGCACAGGTAAGGAGACTGGTGCTTATATAGGCGTCAGTGATACGAGACGTGTAGCAGACGAGGGCATAGTCACTGGTAGGCGGGATTCCCCAGTGGAAGTAGGTCCTACCCAAATTGATGGGTTAGTTGTAGAAGTCGTGAAGAAGGTCATGTAGATGTCCTCTGAATCAAGATACCATGATGTTGCGGTGCCTGACAAGTTGTGCAAGACTGGTATACAATACCGACAAGATGAAAGTTAAGACACTTGTGCAACATCTGGTTATCTTTATTGTAAACGTTTCGCCATCCAGTGGCTTTATCAATACAAATTCTTGGACATAATTAGAAAACGGAAGAACTATATACAAAAGATGAAGTAATCAGTCCCTCAGCCTTGGAGGTGGTGTTCTTCCGTTTTCTAATTATGTCCAAGAATTTGTATTGATAAAGCCACTGGATGGCGAAACGTTTACAATAAAGATAACCAGATGTTGCACAAGTGTCTTAACTTTCATCTTGTATACCTGTCTTGTATACCTGTCTTGCACAACAAGTAACTCGTAAATGTGATTGAAAATGTTCATCCAACACTGAACAGCACGTGAACAAACGTTCATAATACGAGGCTGTTCAAATTTGGATTCAATTTTTTTCAACTGCATTTGCAGAAGAAACACTCTGTAGAGAATAAAGAGATTTATGAGCGAGTTTACATAGATAGGAAAAGCTACAAAACCCACCGTATCTAATTTTAATAATAGTAAAAACAGAAGTAATTGTCACTCAGTCTCATCACTGGTTGTTTGGACGACACACTGAGCTGCACCTGCACGCTTTATTAGGTTTAAATCTTATCTACTACACGAAGGGGTCAGTAAGTCTGCATGTTTCCTCTTCAACACCACTCAACAACACTTTAATACCTTAAATAAGGATTAAACTCTCAACGCATCTACTCTGAAAAAATACACACCACACAGTGAATAATACTGGAATATACATACCACTCAGTGTATATACACCGGAATATACATACCACTCAGTGTATATACACCGGAATATACATACCACTCGTGTATATACACTGGAAGACAAATACCACTCATGTGTATACACTGGAAGATACACCACTCAGTGTATATACACTGGAAGATACACCACTCAGTGTATATACACTGGAAGATACACCACTCAGTGTATATACACTGGAAGATACACCACTCAGTGTATATACACTGGAAGATACACCACTTAGTGTATATACACTGGAAGATACACCACTCAGTGTATATACACTGGAAGATATACCACTCAGTGTATATTACACTGGAAGATACACCACTCAGTGTATATACACTGGAAGAATACACCACTCAGTGTATGTACACTGGAAAATACACCACTCATGTATATACACTGGAAGATACACCCCCTACAGTGTATACACTGGAAGATACACCACTCAGTTGTATATACACTGGAGGATACACACTCAGTGTATATACACTGGAAGATACACCACTCAGTGTATATACACTGGAGGATACACCACTCAGTGTATATACACTGGAAGATACACCACTCAGTGTATATACACTGGAAGATACACCACTCAGTGTATATACACTGAAGATACCCACTCAGTGTATATACACTGAGAGGATACACCACTCAGTGTATATACACTGAGGTACCCACTCAGTGTATATACATATGGAAGATACACCACTCAGTGTATATACACTGGAGGATACACCACTCATGTATATACACTGGAGGATACACCACTCAGTGTATATACATGGAGGATACACCACTCAGTAGTATATACACTGGAAGATACACCACTCAGTGTATATACACTGGAGGATACACCACTTCAGTGTATATAACACTGGAGGATACACCACTCAGTGTATATACACTGGAGGATACACCACTCAGTGTATATACACTGGAAGATACACCACTCAGTGTATATACACTGGAGGATACACCACTCAGTGTATATACACTGGAGGATACACCACTCATTGTATATACACTGGAAGAGTACACCACTCAGTGTATATACACTGAGGATACACCACTCAGTGTATATACACTGGAGGATACACCACTCAGTGTATATACACTGGAGGATACACCACTCAGTGTATATACACTGGAGGATACACCACTCAGTGTATATACACTGGAAGATACACCACTCAGTGTATATACACTGGAGGATACACCACTCAGTGTATATACACTGGAAGATACACCACTCAGTGTATATACACTGGAAGATACACCACTCAGTGTATATACACTGTTCCTATCATCCCATTTGTTTCATTTATTTATTATGTGTTTCTTTCATTGTTTTTCATAGTACTAAAGTATTCATTATTCTCTCCTTCCTCCCAACTCTCTCTTCTCTTCCTCTCTACTTATCTTCACCTCTCCACTCCTTTTTCACCTTCATTATATTCTTATCCTCCAATATCACTATTTTCTAGTGCTCCCTCACTATTTCCTTGTCCTCCCTCACTATTTTCTTCTCCTCCCTCACTGTTTTCTTCTCCTCCCTCACTATCTTCTGGTCCTCCCTCACTATCTTCTTGTTCTCTCTCACTATCTTGTCCTCTCTCACTATTTTCTTGTCCTCTCTCACTATCTTCTTGTCCTCTCTCGCTATCTTGTCCTCCCTCACCATTTTCTTGTCCTCTCTCACTATCTTCTTGTCCTCCCCATTATCTTTCTGTCCTCCCTCACTATCTTGTTGTCCTCCCACACTATTTTCATGTCCTCTCTATCATCTTGTCCTCCCTATCTTCTTGTCCTCTCTCGCTATCTTCTTGTCCTTTCGCACTATCTTGTCTTCTCTCACTATCTACTTGTCCTCTCTCACTATCTTTTTGTCCTCCATCACTATCGTCTTGTCCTCTCTCACTATCTTATCCTCTCTCACTATTTTGTTCTCCCTCAGTATTCTCTTGTCCTCTCTCACTATCTTCTTGTCCACACTCACCTATCTTCTTGTCCTCTCTCACTATCTTCTTGTTCTCTTTCACTACCTTCTTTCCCTCTCACTATCTTCTTGCCTCCCTCACTATCTTCTTGTCCTATCTCACTATCTTCTTGTCCTCTCTCACTCTCTTTTTGTCCTCCCTCACTATCTTCTTGTCCTCTTTCACTATCTTCGTGTGCTCCCTCACTATCTTCTTGTCCTCTCTCACTCTCTTCTTGTTCTCTTTTACTATATTTTCCTCTCTCACTATTTTCTTGTCCTCTCTATCTTCTTGTCCGCTCTCACTGTCTTCTTGTCCTCTCTCACTATCTTCTTGTCTCTCTCATTATCTTCTGTCTCTCTCAATATCTTCTTGTCCTCCCTCACTATCTTCTTGTCCTCTCTCACTCTCTTCTTGTCCTCCCTCACTATCTTCTGTCCTCTCCACTATTTTTCTTGCCCTCTCTCACTATCTTCTTGTCCTCTCTCACTATCTTCTTGTCCTCTCTCATTAACTTCTTATCCTCCCTCACTATCCTCTTGTCCTCTCTCACTATCTTCTTGTCCTCTCTCACTATCTTCTTGTCCTCTCTCACTATTTTCTTGCCCTCTCTCACTATCTTCTTGTCCTCTCTCACTATCTTCTTGTCCTCTCTCATTAACTTCTTATCCTCCCTCACTATCCTCTTGTCCTCTCTCACTATCTTCTTGTCCTCTCTCACTATCTTCTTATCCTCTCTCACTATCTTCTTGTCCTCTATCACTATCTTTTTGTCCTCTCTCACTAACTTCTTTCCTCCCTCACTATCTCTTGTTCTCTCTCACTATCTTCTTGTCCTTCTCACTATCTCCTTGTCCTCTCTCACTCTCATCTCCTCTCTCACTATTTTGTCCTCTCTTACTATCTTCTTTATCCTCTCTCACTATCTTCTTGCCTCTCTCATTATCTTCTTGTCCTCTATCTTCTTGTCCTCTCTCACTATTTTCTTGCCTCTCTCACTATCTTCTTGTCCTCTCTCACTATCTTCTTGTCCTCTCTCATTAACTCCTTATCCTCCCTCACTATCCTCTTGTCCTCTCTCACTATCTTCTTGTCCTCTCTCACTATCTTCTTGTCCTCTCTCACTATCTTCTTGTCCTCTATCACTATCTTTTTTGTCCTCTCTCACTAACTCTTATCCTCCTCACTATCCTCTTGTTCTCTCTCACTATCTTCTGTCCTCTCTCACTATCATTCTTGTCCTCTCTCACTATCTCCTTGTCCTCTCTCACACTCTTCTTCTCCTCTCTCACTATTTTGTCCTCCCTTACTATCTTCTTATCCTCTCTCACTATCTTCTTGTCCTTTCTATCTTCTGTCCTCTCTCACTATCTTCTTATCCTCCTCACTATCCTCTTGTCCTCTCTCACTATCATCTTGTCCTCTCTCACTATCTTCTTATCCTCCCTCACTATCCTCTTGTTCTCTCTCACTATCTTCTTGTCTTCTCTCACTATCCTCTTGTTCTCTCTCACTGTCTTCTTGTCCTCTCTCACTATCTTCTTGTCCTCTCTCACTATCTTCCTTGTCCTCTCTCACTCTCATCTCCTCTCTCACTATTTTGTCCTCTCTTACTATCTTCTTATCCTCT